CACAAGCAACGCGACACAAACGCGATACAAACAAACCTGGTACGAACTGTTTATTCCGCGGTTTGAAATCCGAACATGCGTGTCTCCTCAGAAATCGAAACTCACTAGATTTTCGTTCTTTCGGGTGTGTTCGGGGAGTATACTAAGTTTGTTCGCGTTGCTTGTACTTTTTGCACTCAGCATCTTCGTTTTTTCTCGTTCCATATTCAAATATATATTTATCTTTTTTTAAGTAAAAACATTTTGGGTGATTTCAAGCAATGCGAACAAATTTTTCACTTAAATTAAGATAAATATGTATTCAGGCGTTCAAGAGAGAGAGAAAGCGAAATTGTTAAGTGCACAAAGTGCGTGCAACACGAACAGACCTGTTGATGGGTTAAAGCCTGATGTCCACGATGCTAGAAATCTGTCCGAGATCTTGGACAGAGAAAAAATTAACAAATCACATTTGAATAATTTGATCACATGACCATTGTGATTGGTTAATTCTTTCTTCATCCGAGGTCTCGAACCGATTTCTAGCATCGTGGACATAAGACTTAATGGATGCGTATTGTGTACCGTGTGATAAGAAGGAAAGAAGAGATTCACTGGGCGTGCGAGTTTATTGGTCGTTTTTTAAACATTTTAATGAGGATTATATTAAAATATGACTAATAATGTACACAGATATTTAATATGTATTTTCTGATTTTTCCTTTTTTCTACGGGATACTTTTCTACTGTATCAGGAAACGCGATTCGTGTTTATGAATCCGTTACTATGACAGCGGATTTGAATCCGGAAGACTTTGGAGTGTGTAAATACATGGCAAATATATTGCCGAATTTGTTATTTTGTATATTTTATGGAACTGAATATTTTATGGAAGTAAAATGACGGAAGCAACTAAATCCGATGTGCAAATTATTTTGAGCATAAAAGAAGGTAAAATTTTATAGATGTATCTTTATTGCGTATACCTCAAGAATATTGCAAGTTTTATTTCTAAAATTGATGTGCTTTCCTTGAAAATTCTTATCTAAAAAAATATACTTATTCTTTATAATTATATCATAATTTTAATAATAATTGGAATAGAGAAAATATTAATTTGTATAATTTATAAATTATGATGTCATAATATGTAGTATGATTAAGGACTTTTATGTGGAACTTAAATTTATGAGGAAATCAAATTATTTATCAAATTATAACAATGATTGTCATAAAATAAAATTTTATGTATGTACGTATTACAGGGAAGGGTTTTGAACAAGTTTTACAACCAACATTATTAATTGGAACTTTAAATGGACACTCCTTAGAAACTGACAGAATTGAGTCATGTCCGACTCCGCAATATATCACAGATTTAGTTTGGGAAACTAATAAAATAGTGTTGAGAAGGTAAGAATGGTATTTGTTTTTTTTTTAATTCAAATTGCTATTATTTGCTAATAAAGTATAGATGTGATGATTTCATTTTGTATTTAATTTATAGAATGCGATCAGAGCAAGTCTCATTAAAATTAGAATGCTTTGCTTTTAAAGAGAATGAAGGTAGAGAGAGACTCGGATACGTTCTACTAAACATACGTTCTGCGCAAGTAATATCTAAATGTGGAGATTTGAATCCAAAAGCAAGTTGGCACAAGTTGATGGGATTACGAAGCAACCTTAAAATACAAAAGCCTGAGTTACTTCTTGCATTAAGAGTTGAAGATCGGAAGGATGTAACTTTAAATCCAATAGTGGAGGTAAAATGTATTATTTTGTATGAATATAGTATATTTCGGGATTCATAATAATCGATTCTCCTAATAATTGAATAACAAATAATTATTAGTAATAAAGTAAGAGAATAGTATAATATATTATATTAAAATATAATTAGTTTTATTAAAAAAAAATATATATATATATAAGCTATCATTATCACATCATATTATTTCATAGCATAGTAGAAGTTTGATAGAAAAAGATATTATTTTGGAAAGTAATGAAATAATCCCTTATTTGCATCCTGATGAACAATTGATTCAATTGGGGCCTTTAGATACCTGTGGTGAATTATTCATATTAAGTATCATGGCCATATACATAAGAAATTTGCATTTATTATTTCCTGAAAATCTGAATATGCATAGCACTGTACTCTCATATCGAGTTCTGGAAAACGATGTAGAACTTAGACCGTTCAGGACAGAATCTAGTAAATCTCATTTTGTCCCCGAAAAAGTAACAATGAGAATACGAAGCTCCTTAAGTGTCTTAAAGCAATACTTACAATCAAAACCGTATTTATTAATATATTTAAAACATGAAAATGGCATAATAGCTGAATCATCAGTTAATCTGCAATCTCTAGTACCCGTAGATAATTTGCAAGAATTTCTCAAATGTGCTGCGCATGCGAGTACTACTTTAAACGAACAATGTTTTCTAATTAAACAAGATTCAATAGAAAACCAGAATCACCAGAAACCTTACCTTGATCTGCAACTCAAATTGCAATATATTGGAAGTAAAACAAATATTTTGTTCAACTTTGATACAGCAATGAATTCTAATAATCTAAACAATATGATGTCTAACACTCAAATGAATCGTAATGAAGAAAGTATAAATGTCGATCAGGTAGAATAGAAACTTAGTCATTTTATCGACAATATCCCATCCTAGTGATTATCAAAATTGATAATGTGAAGATTATATATAATTAAAAATATCTGATTTCAGAGATGTCCAGAAATTGAATCTCACAGAAATCCTAGTGGCGATTATGGAAAATCTAGTTTCAGGAATATTCCTAATGAAGCAAAATGTGCAAAGGAATATAAAAATGTAAACAAACAATCTGTTGATTGTCAATGCTTAAAACATCAAACGGAGTCTAAAGTTACATGTTCGCGCTCGTGCGATGGAATTCTGTACAATGTTAATAAAAATCATATCAGAGATGTAGGATCTTATCACTGCTATTGTCTACGCATTTCACTCGAGGAAATATCATTGGTATCTGAGATGTTATCGGGACGAGAAATTAAATTTCGGTTTGATTGATATATATTTTTTTAATTAAAGGAATATAATAAGGATATTTCCTTTTTAGTTCTTTTTAATATAATATAATATTTTTTCTACGTAGATTTCACCATCCAAAAACTGAAATCATGTCAACAGCGTACGCAACAATGCCAGTTTTACTAAACGAGAAAGTTAAATTGCAAGATATTGTATGCCAATTTCACTTTATATCCGCACCAAATGAAATAAAACAATTACTAGAATCTTTTCCTCCGAAAATCAGTATATGCGACATAAACGAAAGTGATGAATTGTCATTACTAGTGCTTGATGTAAAACCGTTATTTTACCAAGAAAAGTTAATATTAATGTTAATTATATATAAATCTTATAAAATAATAAAAATTAAAACAAGAATTTTTTCAGTTCGAATGTCAGTATAAATTATCTCTGTTCGATACAGATCGAAATAAAATTGCTGATATGGACATTATACTCAAATTAGAAGATCGTGGACCGCATTGTATATTAAAAAAAGAAACTATTGGTAGATATACATTAAGTTTATTAAAATATTTGTTTGTTTCCTATTGTATTATTTCTTAACGATAGAACTTTAGTTCTCTATTTATTGAAATGATTTACTTAAGATAAAAATCTTGGCCCACCAATATTGGACGACAGCTTAGCATATAAAATAGTGGACGAGCTTGAAACTTGGAAGGAACGCCAAAAAGAAATGTTTAAAGCTGAGGTAAAACGAGATAACAGCAATTTGATTGATAATTTCTATTTAATGACATTATTTGTGTGGTAGCTCAAAAGAAAGGAAGAACGATATTTGAACATGTTGAGCGAGGAATGGCGAATGCAAAAGGAAAATCTAGAATCAAAGCTCGCATACAGTGTCGAACAATGTAAAACGTTGGCCAACAGTTTAAACAACGCTACTGAAGATTTACGAAAGCGTAGATTGAAGAGCCTGGAAAATGAGACCAGACTGATAAAAGCAAACGAGGACTTGCAATGGAGATATGAAACCAAGTTACAAGAACTTAAAAACTTGCTGCATGCAACGCAAAGTGATCTTACATCAAAGGTTTGTGAAGAATATCTCAGTTACATATATTTCGCTTTGGATTTGCATCTCTCATGTAACATAAACTTAAAAAGAGGACTATTAAATATTACGTCTCATGATATTTACATATAACATTGTATTTTATGCAGATTGCCAAACTTGAGGAGAAAAAAGTTGCTTTAGAGGCACAAATGGAAATATTATCGTATGAAAACGAGAATATGAAATCGTCGATAAGTAAACAAATGGACGAATTGCAAATCTATCAAAAAGCATCATTAACTCAAGATCAAACAGCGTCTTTGTTGCAAGAAGTAAAAATTCTCGAGGAAAAATTAGACAATGCTCAGAAGGGAAAAGAATTTTTTAAAGAGCAATGGGGCAAAGCAGTTCGCGAATTACACAGGATGAAAGTGGATTATCAACAAGCCATGCAAATTCAAATCAAGAACAGTAGGGAAGAACTAATGAATGCGGAGTACGTTATATGTTATAGCATTATTTTAACTAATCTTATTATAGGAATCCTACTTCAGGTTAAAGCACTAACGACAAAAATTTGAGAAATCAGTAAATAGAAAGCAAAAATATAGAACATTATTATTTTTCGCGATATGTTTAACATAAAATTTTTTGAAATTAAAATTTAGTTAATATTAAATTATTTTACAAGTTTCTACATAGATTTTCACAATGCATTATGACATCGGGACAATTGAAATATGTAATATGATTTGATGGAAATGTATTTTCCTGTACTTACTTTCACTTTTTTCACATACAGTATTGCGGAAATTTTGTCTGCAGACAGAAAAGCTTTGGACAACGATCAACTTTTGCTGAAAGAGCTTCAAAAAGAAATCGATGTGATCAAGCCGAAACAATCCTCTACGAAAGATACCTACAATCAAATATTTACGACAGCTGATGACATTTATTATGATATTTCCTGTAATGATAATAAAATTGTTGACGATAAATCAAAAGAATATAATGAGCGATTGCAGTCGTTGAAAGGAGAACGTGACACTCTTTTAAGGACCGGAAATTACACAGATGATGACGTAGTGATTAAAATACTTAACGCAGAGATTCAATCCTTATTGACAAACAGGTAGCGAATTTATTTTCTGCTTGTTTTCTCTGATTAATATTCGATTTTCATATAAGAAGAGGAAGGTATGCAATTTCAAAATATATGACATGTTACAAGATAATTTATATATGTATATTTATACAAATAAATATTTTAAATATTTTACTGAAAATTTTTAAATTCTTTGTTTATAATTTTTTGAAGTAAGGAAGTACGTCTAAAGAAGCATAATAGCCTTCCAGCCATTTCGGTCCTTTATAAGTGGTTCCTCGATTCATATCTAACCATGTTCCATTAGGTAAGTAGATATCACGATATTCGTCACCCTCTTCAACTATCGGAGCAACCAATATAGATTCACCAAGGAGATATTCTGTAATTCAGTTAAGCAGCAACATTCAATCATCAATTATTTATAAATCACTACCAAGTCGTGCTTTCTAGATTTATCAAGAACATTTATGAATAAGGTTAATTGTTTAGATATTTAGCAAATTTAAAATATAATTTTATATATTCTTATAAACTTACCGTCATTAATCTTGTGAGCTTCTGAGTTGAACGGATCAATCCACCAAATGGGTGGATTTACAGGAGTGCCTTTCTCAATAGTCTGCTGCATGGCTTTTATAATTTCTGTCGAGTAATTCGTGTGCAATTCGGTATATTCTCTGCAGATTTTGATAGTCTGGTAAAATACAGATAGATATTATTTCTTCGCAATATTATAATATGATTTAAGGAACAAATTAAATTCATTAACTTATCGTACAGCAATCCATTCATCTCGGCTAGGATTTTCCATATTACTCACTTCTTCATCGAAATCCCATGGCACAAAAGAATATTGCATCGATGGCATGAAAACAGTGGCCTGCAACCATCTGATGAATAAGTCTTTAGATGGTACCGTTCCGTAGCCGTTGCCGCCGATCATGTCTGGCAGCACATAGACGTATCCGTTAAGATTCATCTGTAGTAGCGTCGTGATCAGTGTGGGTAGACCATTGTTCCACGTCCACCTGGTATCCTTGTCGATCATGCGAACAAATATCGGTAAGTCCTGAGTACGCCATCCCACCCGCACTTCAATGTTATGGGGGAAGTTTGATGCGAGTTTGCGGACGTATTCTTCCGTGAATATACCTGGCTGCAACTCAGACTGTTCATTTAACTTCGGCACCTGTGGTAACCAGGACACCTCGCCGGCATCGAACTTAAAGCTATTGATGCCTAAATCTCGCTGAAGACGACTCAGGCGTTCCGTCCACCATGTCACAGCGTTCGAATTCGTAAAATCAATCGTGGCGGCATCTGAACCTAAAAAAGATATAATTGAACGGTACATTAAAAGATTGAAAATTCACAATAAATTCGTTTGCAAATAAATATTGCTAGATATATTTTTTTTATTTCTTTAAGTGACGCAAGGTGTTTAATATTTAAAAAATGTTAACAGAGAATAATCATCGTTTTCTCTGCAACAAGGAACGTCGATTTTAAACCAATCCTTACCTTGCCACCACGACATTTGAACGTTTCCATCTTGGTTTTTAACGAAGTAATCGTTATTCAGCGCGGTGGAGTATGCGGGTTCACAATTTCGGTTGATGAAAGGATGTATCCACAAAGTGACGCGGAAGCCCTTTTCCTGCAATCGCTGCGTAAGAGCGTTGACATCAGGAAACTTGATGGGATCAAACTCGGCGGAGCCGTAACAGGTCTCCCAGTTATCATCAATCTCGATTTGACTATTGTTGAATCTATGGGCGACGATTTCATCCGCGTAGGTCTCTACCACTTGCGAGGTGATGTTGGTCTTGTATCTGGCCCAGGTAGACCATATAGGATATTTAACCATCAGGCTGTCGGGGTGACCCGTTGGCCTACCCAAATGGTTTTTTACTGCGTATTGATGAGCAGCTTTCGGATCCGAAAAAAAACCTATTGTATATGTGATATTGATGACATCGCGATACTGATAGGGCGCTTTATTCTTGGCGATCATGCATAAGTACTTATCCCGATAATTGTTCTGATCGAGGAATAGTGGGCTTGCATCGTCCACGTAGATGTAAATCCCTTTGCTGGACAGCCAATAACGCTCGGCTAATGCCATGTTTGAAGGATGCGTAGGCAAGTATGGCTCTTCTTCATAGTACATATTCTGTATAGGCCAGTGCTGATAGCGAAACTGTGGCCCGCCGAACCATTCCGTGTTATCATTAAGTTGGAAACAATCAAGGAGTTCGCCATTGGGATCATAAAGTGTACGAGTGATTATGAGGAATGCGTTATCGGGATCTTTCTTGAATGAAGTATCTATAAGTTGATTACTCTTCGTGAAGAAGATATTATTCATCTTCGTGCCATCTGAAATAAATATTATATTTATCAATACAGCTCCTTCATTAAAATGTATAAAATTCATATTGATTTTGTGGAGATATTAATTAACAGGAAGAAATATTGAAGCTTACGAAAATACACTGTTAAATTCATAATATTAAATTATATTAAATTTGAATTATTTTTAATCATTTTTATAGGCCACTACTGCTCTTACTCAATATATGTCATTAATTTAACTGAAACAATGGAGTTAAACTATTTAATTCAAGAAAAACTGTTAAATATAACTCTAATTATTTTATTATTTACTAAATTCTATATGTTATACGGACGTTATTTATCTTGAAACTGACCATAGAAATGGGTTGACTTGCATTTTGACACACGTGGAAGTTAAAAATTGAAAAAATTTTTAATTTAAGAGACTGAATTACATTGTTCCTTTGATATCTAATGTAATTTTGATATCTAAGGAACAATGTAATTCAGTCTCTTAAATTAAAAATTTTTTCAATTTTTAACTTCCA